CTTGAGATCAAGCAGAAAGCTCCACAGTAGATCCCACACACCTCCTACAACTCTGACCCTGTTATACCCACACTGCCTCCACACTGCCTCCACACTGCCTCCACACTGCCTCCACACTGCCTCCACTCTACCTCCACACTGCCTCCACTCTACCTCCACACTGCCTCCACACTACCTCCACACTGCCTCCACACTGCCTCCACACTGCAGGAGCACTCCTACTGAGCACCACGCTGACATGGTGCTGAAGTAGCGCTGCTGTTCAAACGCTCACCTTGTAGAGTTTGGGTCTGACGGCAGAGAAGTCGTCAGGCACGTGTTTCTTGATCTCCTCCGGTTGTCCTCCCAGAACCTCCCAGAAGCCCGGGGGCTCCTGGTTCTGAGAGACGGTCGTGATCTCCGCCTTGCCCTTACGCTCGTTCTTGTTGATCTTCTCTGCAAACAACCTGCAGGGTGAAACAATGCACACACACTTTGACGCTTTGCTGAACTGCAAGTATGTTGTTTTTATGTTTGAATGGTTTTCCCAACTTTAGATTTGCCTTCCATGGAAATGTTTGTGTTTCTAAATGCTTTGTGTCCTACCTGGCCTTCGTGGTGCCGCTCAGAGTGGCGTTGGCTCCTCTCCAGATAAAGATGTCTGGTCCACTGTCCAACAGGAAGACAAACCTGCCAAAAACAAAACAAAAACAATCAAAAAATGAAAAACTAACTAACTTAAGTTAATATGTCAAATAGAAAAGGGATCAAATCTAAATGTATCTAATGGGCCCAATATCACAGGGCATAAGACCCTTCATGTAGATAAGGAAACACGAAGGGAGTGTGTGTGAAACTGCGAGTGTAGGCAGGAAGGTGTGTGAGAGTTACCGTGGGTCGAGAGACGAGGACTTCACCGGGACAGACTCCAGTCGGATGTTCTTCTTGCCGTAAACTCTGTACAACCTGTTGGACAAAAAAATACCTCATTCAAAATGTTTTCAGACCAACAGACACAAAAGTTTACGTCACAAAATCTAAATTATTTACAGCTATAATCTGACTAAATTTATTCAGACTC